ACTGGCCCTAAAAACACAGAAGTGTTCCAAACTCACTGGCCTCCACCTAGGCCTGATCCGGGGTGGGAGGCTGGAAAATAGGATTCCATTTGACTTTATTTCAACTGCAAGACTCAAAGTTCAAGTAAGATAGGATACAGTGGCTCATACTGTATCTAGCACTTTGGGAGATGAAGTGGCAGATCATCGAGGTCCCGGAATTCAAGACCAGCCTGGCCAACATGGCAGAGCCTCTACTAAAATGCACAAAATTAGCTGGGATTTAGCTGGGAATAGTGCCAGGTGCCTGTAATCCCAGCTACTTAGGAGTCTGAGACAGGAGAATCGCTTGAAGCCGGGAAGCAGAGGTTACGGTGAGCCAAGATCGCACCACTGCACTCCAGCCTGGGCGACAGAGCAAGACTCCATCTCAAAAAAAAGAAAAAAAGTTCAAGTGAGACAGTGAGCAGTTAATGTCAATGAAATGATTTCACCTGGGAAAGCTTGCCTTGTGATTAATGCAGGTGGGATGACATCAGAGGAGCCTACTTTCTGGGCTGTAATCTTCTAGGGCCAGAAACTCAAGATGATGTTTTGTAGACCTAATCTTATACTAAGGCAATTTCATAGAAGACTGGCTGGCATCTCCAGGAAATTTGGAGGCATGTGGCCACTTCCTAGAGGAGCTGTTTTAAGTACAGACACAAAATTTAGAAGTTACTGAGGTTTGTTCAGGCACTCATTTCTCCAAAAGCCAGGGTTGGTTTTCTGTTTGTTTGTTTGAGAGGGAGTCTCACTCTGTTGCCCAGGCTGGAGTGCAATGCTGGGATCTCAGCTCACTGCAACCTACGCCTCCGGGGTTCAAGAGATTCTCCTGCCGCAGCCTCCCGAGTAGCTGGGATTACAGGCGCCCGCCACTACGTCCAGCTGATTTCTGTATTTTTAGTAGAGATGGGGTTTCACCATGTTAGGCTGGTCTCGAACTCCTGACCTAAGGTGATCCGCCCTCCTCGGCCTCCCAAAGTGCCAGGATTACAGGCGTGAGCCACCGCACCCTGCCGCCAGGGTTTTTTGTTTGTTTTTGTTTTTGTTTTTTGTTTTTTAACGTGGTGGTGGTGGTGGTGGTGGTGGTGGTGGTGGTGGTGGTGTTCGTTTGTTTAATTTTCTCAATGAGGTCCAGTGAAGGAACCAGGAACATGTATCTCCTCCACAATATGACGATTTATACTTTTGCTCTTGGAGATGTTTGCAGGCACCTGAGAAGTCTCCTTGCTCAATTCTTCCTCTAAGGTCCTTAATGGGGTTTTACAACCTGGTCTTGCAATCTCTCACTGGGGGAGACAAGAAAGGTCCGTGTTTTCCTTTTGTGAGCCTCATTCTCCCACCTCTGGCAAGGATACGTTTTTCCAGGTTTTGCTGTTGTTGCTGAAGAAACTGGGAGTCCCAGGAGCCACAAGAGAAAGCTGTAATTTGGGGCCACCTCTAGTGTTCCAGTTCCAAACTTGGCAGGCTGGGCAGCACGCTGGTTTAACATGAGCAAGCAGCAGCAGGCTCCTCCCTACTGCTCTGTGCGGGGGCTGAGGAACAGTCCTGGAAAGTCCGTCTAGTAAAGGGATCCTAGAAATAGGACACACAGAAGGAAAACAAAAAAGACATCCAAAAAAAGTCTATTTCCGAGAGATAGGGAATGGTAGCGTGGAGGAAAGATCAACAGACCGGACAGAGAAGAGAGGCCAAGGTCCCAGCAAGGAGGGAGAGCTGTGTATAGCGTGAAGCCCCAAACCATGAGCTCGGGACAGATACACAGAGCGAGGAGAGGGTGGCTGCTAAATTCTAACTCCACCAGTGACAGTGGAGGTTTGTGAAGGACCAAGCCCGTGGAAACTGTGTAACTGAGTTATTATTCTGGGAAACCAGCCTGAGTTTTCCTTTCTTCATCCAGGAAGCCCAGCGAGCTTCATTGCGAGAGAAGAGAAAAAAATTTTAGCACTGACCACAAGGTGGCGCCAGACGCCCGTGGATGTAGTGGGGTCTTCCCTTCCTGGTGAGCCCCGGAAGCTGGCGATGGGATCAAGTCCTCCAGATTCAAAGGAAACCAAGAGGTCTGCACGCCCGGAAAGGTATTCTAGCCTAAGGATAATATACTGCACACGGAAAATAATAAAAAACATCTTTATTAAAGAGACGGGGAGGGTTGGCCCAGAGACTAGACCGGTAGAGTCTGCAATCCTTCTGTGAAGGGAACTTAAAAGACTTTTCCACCGAACCCCTTGACAGGACAGGGAGAACCAAGCTGGGAAAGACTGGACGTTAAGGGGGAGACAGGAGCCTTTAGAGGAGAAAAAATGCCCTCTGACTGATGGATTTGCATTTACTGGTATTCTTCATTGACACGATAAACAAGTCGATAAGCCCAACACGATTGAATAACAAGTAGAAATGCATTCTATTAGATTCATCTTCTCTGAGAATGCATTATGGTAGCTTTGCTCTTCTTGGGTGTCATGGACTGATGACTTTTCAAATATATGGTATCGATTGTGTCAGCCAATATTCTCCTTCTGGTGCTTATATTGTCCCAACTTTGGCCAGGAGGAGCCCTGTATAGATTGTTCCTTTTGTAATTTTGAATGACCCTTATTTAACGCTTTGCTTTCTGTCCCAAAAAGGTATAGGCGTTCTAGGATTACCTTGTACCTTTCAACTCCAAACTGAGATGGCATCCACTACTGCTCCAAGAAACTTTGACTCCTTTGGGAGAAAACTAACACTAGAAACCAAAATCTTAGCATTAAGATGCATTGCAGAGGTGACATTTCTCCTGGGCCATTTCAGTGGAAAAAAGTCAAAATATTTTTAATGTAATGTTTTGTAAAGATATGACTTCATATTAATATGTTTGATTCAGTACCAACAGTACCCTGTTCTTAGTCAAAGTTGAAACCTACAATAGCCTTCCTTGTGACTAATCCTGAAGTCTAGATTCTTATCAAAATATGCAAACTATATATTATTTACTTGCTTTATCTGATAATAGTTGCAAAAAATACGCTATCAATACAAACAGTATAGATACTGAATAAAGTTTTTGTTTTAGACTACATACACCTAAGGATTTGTTGCCAAATTACTTTGTTCTAGAATCTCTCATAATATCTCACACCATGTGACTATGCAGGGACTTACCTAACAGATAGTTCTGGGTCCATTGTTTCCATCCACTTTCATTTTGAAGAGGCTGCAACCTGCCCCCAGCCCCTGCTTCCTGCTCTACCTTTTCATTTTATCGTGACTTACAAACTCCCAATATACTAAATAATTCACTTAATAATAATACTTTGTTATTGTGTTATTATTATTTCTCCCTTACCCCATTGGAATGTAAGCCTCATGGAGCACGGATTTTATTCACTGGACCCTGGCAGTTGCACCCTAAAGGCAGGACTAAGAAAGCTGGGCTTGATTCTGGGGGCTCAGTGGACTCTACTGCATTGGGCTGCAAGAGACAGTCTTCACTGAAACAGCAGAAGCTGCTGTAGGCCGCTCCCAGATACTCATTCCCCCCAGCGCGCGCGCGCGCACACACACACACACACACACACACACACACACACACACACACAAGTATTTCCCCAGTTCCTGCAGGACTCATTGAGAGGCTGTGAAAACAAAGCAAACCAATAGTGCTGAGCCTGAGCCCCTGGACTCGGTGACTGGGCATCTGGAGGGTTGGAGCTTCTAGAAAAAAAGAATGTGGCAGGAAGCTGTGCCTTATGATGAGTGACCCGGCTCCTGGTTTGCCCAGAGGAGTCCTGGTTTACAGCTGTGGTCCTGCTGTAATAACTAATCACATTCCTTTTCACTCATGTAAGTGTCCAGGTGTAGGAATAAATGCATTGGAGGGGCAGGGAGGAGGCCTGGGGACTTGGGACAGAAGTGCTCCAGGGCAGAGGGAACAGCCAGCTGCAGAGGAGGCAGCCCCTCCACCATTGGGGGCTGGCAGGTCTGGTGCATAGCTGAGGCTCCATCAATGTACGTTCAGGGTAAGGGGAGACAACAGAAGAATCAAAATAAATTTCTGTGTACCTATAGATGCCAAAAAATGGATGGGCACTAGGACTAGTTGTGAGAGACTCAAGCAGAGGGAGGTCACGGTCATTTCTCAGTTCTGGGCCTGGGCTGGGACAGAAGGATAGTGCCCCACCACCACCCCACCATAAAGGGGCAGGAAGAAAGAGGAGGGAGGGTGATGGCGGGTATAGTAATAAGGTCTTTGTTTTTGCAAACTGAAAGTGTGTTTCCAGTTTGCGTCAAATATAAAATTAGCACATACACTCTTAACAAACAACACAGAGAAGCATACAAAATAATACAAAGGAAAAGAAGGAACAGGTCTTCAGCGATCTCATGCTCCTGGAGAGACCCCTCCAGGTGGTGAAGGGCTGTGGGCTTCTGGGGAAACACCCCGTTGATGCAGTTAGACTGTCCCATCACTGGGCTGGCTGGAAAGGGTCCAGGAAGTAGGGGTGAAGATAAACCAACTCAGAGGCTCCAGAGCTTCAAGGGGGTTAGAAAGCAAAGCACAGGCCCTGCCCATCAATCCCTTCACCCCTCAAGAAGTTTCCTCCCCTCATTCCTTCTCTGCGGTTGGCTCTTTCTTCACCTGGTGGGGAAAAGGGGTGGGGAGAGGCATCCAGAGGTAGGTCCTAAATGAGCGGACTAAGAGGGGCTGGGGATACCCTGAGGAAGGTGTCAAGGAAAAGAGGGTTCCCCAGGGATTTCCCATGGGGTGGGGCCTCCAGGAAAGGCCTAGGAGAACCCTGACCAGGTGAGGCTTATGCCAGCTGCCTCGGTTGGGGTTTTCATGCAGCCAGAGGCTGCCCCCAACCAGGCAGCCCTGGACTCTGGATTCCTGGGGCTGCTCCTCCCCTGTCCCCACCCCCACCCCCAGTCGTCTTGATCAAAGGTGTCCATTGGAGTCTCTCTGGACTTGAGGTTGACAATGTAACTAGAACTTTAAAGACCACTTTTGGCCAGGGTGGCCCCTTTTTATTTGCTAAATTCTGTACTTTAGCAACTCTACAGGAAAAAAGGAGCACAACAAACATGCACATGTTACTGACTTCTGCATTCTTGTTGCATTGCACACGTACATTTCTCCTGCTGTCTGCAGTGTGCACACACTGTCAACACTTTACAGTAGTTCATGGATCCTCTGTGTTCATGCACATCCCATTTTCATTGCGGCTGTGACCTTCCTCCAGGTCACCTACTGTAGAGCTCACTGAGCCATTCCCCTCTGCACCGGCATTGGGCTTGAAGTGAACTCAACACCATTGCTCCCATGCTTCCTTTTCTCTCAAGGATTCTTCTGGGAAAGTGGGCTCTCCAAGCCACCCAGTGTGTAGAGTCCTTGATCATTCTTATCATACATTTATGTCCTGCTCTCCAGAAACACTGAATCAGTCAGACTTTAGAGTGTCGCCAGTTTCCCTCTAGCCTTGCAAGTGCTGAGTGTTATATGTGTACGTGTGTGTATAGAGAGAGACTCTGTGTCTGTGTGTTTAGCAGGTGTGTAGGTAATTCCCCCATTACAGATGAGAAAATTTAGGACCAAAGGGATAAAGTCACTTCTCCCAGGGTTGCTCAGCCAGCAAATGGCAGCCCCCAGTCTAGAGGTCACATCTCCTAAGTCCCAGTCAGTGTTCTGTTAGACAAACCACCCTGCCTCTGGTGGTTGCTTCTAGACTTGTAGACAACAGGCTCTTCCTACTTCTCTCACCCCTTGTCTGTGTCGGAAAACAGAAACACGACTTGTCCCCTCATGGTTTCCACATCATGTAGACCAGCTTCTCGGCTTCACCTGGGCCCTTCCGCAAGCCTATGAGATCCAGGCCCTGAGGAGTTCCTCAGGAGACATCACAGCTGTGGCACAGGCATCCACCTCCTCCCTTCTGCAGCTGATTAACTTCTGGGGTGAATTGGTTATTTTCTGAAAAATAATTTTCATTGATATTCATTAGAGGATAGTAGTAGTAATAGTAAAGAATATTATTAAAAGTTTAACTATTTGATTAATTAATTTCCAAGAAGCAAAAACAAAAACCGAAAAACAATTTCAACCCCTAGATGAGGGGCTTCCAACAGCTGCTAAGATTATCTCCCAGTTCACTACCCCGCAGTTCCCTTGAAGCCCTGCTTGGTCAGAGTTCCTCATTCTAAGACCCTGCCCCACAAAAACCCAGAATGTAATTCTCGTTCTTAGAAAAAAATTTAAAGGGAGGTGCGATGGCTCACACCTGCCTTGGGAGGCTGAAACAGGCAGATCGCTTGAGCCCAGGGCTTAGAGACCAGCCTGGGCAACATAGCAAGGCTCCCTCTCCACAAAAAATAAACTGGCCAGGCATGGTGGCACACGTCTGTGGTCTCAGCTACTCATGAGGCTGAGACAGGAGGATCAGTTGAGCCTGGGAGGTCAAGGCTGCAGTAAGCGCTGATCACACCACTGCACTCCAGCCTAGGTAACAGAGCAAGACCCTGTCTCAACAACAACAAAAACAACAACAACAAAACCCTAACCTTCTTCCACCAGAGAGCTCTGAGAATTATGACCTGGTCTGAGATGCTTTATGAACAGCACCTAGCATGGTGCCCAGTACAGGGAGGATGTTCCATAAATGGGAGTCCCTTCCTTGCTCATATATCAGGTTCCCGCCATCTTCTCCCAGTGGCCCCGGGAGACAATCATTACTAGTTATAAACATGCAGACATCAACTTTTCAGGTGGACTCTCCCACCTATTAGTCGCCTGCTCACCTCTGCCAAAATCTCTAAGTTCTTCTACAGTTCTCTCTCTCGGCCCTTCCCCTCATCACTCCCAAGGGTACCACCTGGGCACAAATAGGCACAATGGTTTCCTCCACCTCAGTTCCTCAGGAGACATCAGCTTCATTGAGCCAGTCTCCCTTCATCCTTGTTGGCAAAATGGCAGCTATAGAGATTCACTCCTGGTGTCCATGGGCAAATGCCAACAGGAAGAGACAACGCACAAGCAGCGCTCACTAAGCAGGGGTGTTAGTGTGAAGGCCTTCGACTCGCTGCTGCCAGTGCAGTCAGATTCTCAGGACACTAACTCCCTACATCTGCAGTGGTCATACATGATTATTTTTTAAATTCCAGAACAGTGCTGTCTAATAGAAATATAATGTGAGTCATACATGCAATTTTTAGCACATTTTAAAAGTAAAAAGAAACAGGTGGAACTAATTTTAATAATTTATTTAACAAATATATCCAAAATATTATCAATTTAACATGTCACTTAAACAATGACTGAAATATTTTATAAACTTGTTTCATTCTGTCTTCAAAATCCATTCCGTAATTTATATTTACAATACATCTCAGTTTGGACGAGCCACATTTCTAGTGTCTAACAGTCACATATGACTAGTGGCTACTGTACTAGACAGTGCAGTTCTAGCACATTAAAGTAAAACAAACAGCATAATCTCAGAATTTTGGAAGGTGCAAAACTGTGGTCTCACAGTTTAGTACTAATTTTCAAGCAAAGCTCGGCATATTTTGTAAAACTGGAATCAGTTTTCAACATTTGAAAATGGAGAGATTTCTCATAAAAATCTAGGTTTCTGGGCTTCTCATTTAAAACTTGGAGATCTGGCAGCACTGGCTCACACTTCCTCTTGGTAGCAACCTGCTGTCACTGAGAAGATGAAATATATTTGCCATGATCCCCATCCCCCTCCCTCTTGAGTTACATTCATTACACTACAAGTTCTTTCCTTTTTTTTTTTTTTTCTTCTTTCCAGTGCCTGTGTGGACTCAGAGGCATGAGAGTTCACACAAACTCCACTTTCTGTGAAGCATGCAAGGTCATACTTGGATGGGTCATTGAAGAATTACTAATTTGGGGCCATCTTTATGCTTGCTACCTACATTACAGCAGAATGTGACAGCAAGAAGAGAAAGAATAAAGTGAGTCACAGAAAGGAAACGGAGACCCTTTAGCACCAAAGCACCCATTCCCATGAAGCAATTATGGATGAAAGACAAAGAAAATAAATTATATTTTTAAACAGAGAATATATACTGGGCAGAATTAATATAATTTTCCTTGCATATATAGTTTTTCTTTAGATTGTTACTTGGTGGGGTAGCATTCCAAGATGGCTGAATAGGAACACTATGGTCAGCAGCCCCCAGCATGATCAACGCAGAAGATGGGTGATTTCTGCATTTCCAACTGAGGTACCTGGTTCATCTCATTGGGACTGGTTGGACAGTGGGAGCAGCCCACAGAGAGCGAGCTGAAGCAGGGCAGGACATTGCCTCACCCGGGAAACACAAGGGGTTGTGGGATTTCCCTTTCCTAGCCAAGGAAAGGCATGACAGACTACCTGGAAAAATGGGGCACTCTCACCCAAATACCGCACTTTTCCCAAGGTCTTAGCAACCAGCAGACAAGATGATTCTCTCCTGTGCCTGGCTCGGCAGGTCTCATGCTCCCGGAGCCTTGCTCACTGCTAGCACAGCAGTCTGAGATCAATCTGTGAGGTGGCAGCCTGGCTGGGGGAGGAGCGTCCGTCATTGCTGAGGCTTGAGTAGGTAAACAGAGCCAGGAAGCTCGAACTGGGTGGAGCCCACCACAGCTCAACAATGCCTACTGCTTCTAGACTCCACCTCTGTGGGCAGGGCATAGCTGAACAAAAGGCAGCAGACAACTTCTGCAGATGTGAAGAGAGCAGTTGTTCTCCCAGCATGGCATTTGAGCTCTGAGAACGGACAGACTGCCTCCTCAAGTAGGTCCCTGACCTCTGTGTAGCCTAACTGGGAGACACCTCCCAGTAGGGGCCGACAGACACCTCATATAGGCAGCTGCCTCTGTGGGATAAAGCTTCCAGAGGAAGGATCAGGAAGCAATATTTGCTGTTCAGTAATATTTTCTGTTCTACAGCCTCCGTTGGTGACACCCAGGCAAATGGTCTGGAGTGGACCTCCCGCAAACTCCAACAGACCTGCAGCTGAGGGCCCTGACTGTTAGAAGGAAAACTAACAAACAAAAAGGAATAGCATCAACATCAACAAAAAGATCATCTACAGCAAAACCCCATCTGTAGGTCACCAACATAAAAGACCAAAGGTAGATATAACCACAAAGATGGGGAGAAACCAGAGCAGAAAAGCTGAAAATTTAAAAAATCAGGGCACCTCTTCTCCTCCAAAGGATCACAGCTCCTCGGCAGCAATGTTATAAAGCTGCATGGAGAATGACTTTGACGAGTTGACAGAAGTAGGCTTCAGAAGGTCAGTAACAACAAACTTCTCCAAGCTAAAGGAGGATGTTGAAACCCATCTCAAGGAAGCTAAAATCCTTGAAAAAAGATTAGACGAATGCTAACTAGAATAAACAGTGTAGAGAAGACCTTAAATGACCTGATACAGCTGAAAACCATGGCACAAGAATTTTGTGACACATGCACAAGCTTCAATAGCCGATCAGATTAAGTGGAAGAAAGGGTATCAGTGATTGAAGATCAAATTAATGAAATAAAGCAAGAAGACAAGGTTAGAGAAAAAAGAGTAAAAGTAAAAGAACAAAGCTTCCAAGAAATATGGGACTATGTGAAAATACCAAATTTACATTTGATTGGTGTACCTGAAAGTGATGGGGAGAATGGAGCCAAGTTGGAAAACACTCTTCAGGGTATTATCTGAGAGAACTTCCCCAATATAGCAAGGCAGGCCAACATTCAAATTCAGGAAATACAGAGAACACCACAAAGATACTCCTCGAGAAGAGCAACCCCAAGACACATAATTGTCAGATTCACAAAGGTAGAAATACAGGAAAAAATGTTAAGGGCAGCCAGAGAGAAAGGTCAGGTTACCCACAAAGGGAAACTCATCAGATTAATAGTAGATCTCTTGGCAGAAACCCTACAAGCCAGAAGAGAGTGGAAACCAATATTCAACATTCTTGAAGAAAACAATTTTCAACCCGGAATTTCATATCCAGCCAAACTAAGCTTCATAAGTGAAGGAGAAATAAAATCCTTTACAGACAAGAAAATGCTGAGAGATTTTGTCACCACCAGGCCTGCCTTACAAGAGCTCCTGAAGGAAGCACGAAGCATGGAAAGAAACAACTGGTACCAGCCACTGCAAAAACATGCCAAATAGCAAAGACCATCGATGCTAGGAAGAAACTGCATCAACTAATGGGCAAAATAACCAGCTAACGTCATAATGACAGGATCAAATTCATACATAACAATATTAACCTTAAAGGTAAATGGGCTAAATGCCCCAATTAAAAGACACAGATTGACAAATTGGATAGAGTCAAGACCCATCAGTGTGCTGTATCCAAGAGATCCATCTGACGTGCAAAGACGCACATAGGCTCAAAATAAAGGGAAGGAGGAAGACCTACCAAGCAAATGGAAAGCAAAAAAAAAGCAGCAGTGGTTACAATCCTAGTCTCTGATAAAACAGACTTTAAACCAACAAAGATCAAAAGAGACAAAGAAAGGCATTACATAATGGTAAAGGAATCAATTCAACAAGAAGAGTTAACGATCCTAAATATGTATGCACCCAATACAGGAGCACCCAGATTCATAAAGCAAGTCCTTAGAGACTTACAAAGAGACTTAGACTCTCACACAATAATAATGGGAGACTTTAACACCCCACTGTCAATATTAGACAGATCAACGAGACAGAAGGTTAACAAGGATATCCAGGACCTGAACTCAGCTCTGCAACAAGCAGACCTAATAGACATCTACAGAACTCTCCACCCCAAATCAGTAGAATACACATTCTTCTCAACACCACATTGCATTTATTCTAAAATTGACCACATAATTGGAAGTAAAGCACTCCTCAGCAAATGTAAAAGAACAGAAATCACAACAAACTGTCTCTCAGACCACAGTGCAATCAAATTAGAACTCAGGATTAAGAAAC